CTGGGGGGCAATGGGGAGATGGGGTCAATGGAGGGTCCATGGGGTCCAACTTGGGGGGCAATGGGGAGATGGGGTCAATGGAGGGTCCATGGGGTCCAACTTGGGGGGCAATGGGGAGATGGGGTCAATGGAGGGTCCATGGTATCCAACTTGGGGGGCAATGGGGAGATGGGGGGCCCTTATCCCCCAACTTAGGGGGCAATGGGGCACAGCGGTGCATGGAGAGACGGGGGGCAACGGGGACCCCCATCTTCCAAGCCGGGGGGCTCCGGGGGTGCCTGGAGGACCTGGCCCAAGGGTGGAGACAACCGGGCGCACAGTGGGGTGCTGCCGGACAAGGGGGTGCCGGGGGGGGGACGGGCGATGTTGGGGGGTCCCAAGCGCCCCCCCTCACCGTGCCCCCCCCCACAGCTCTACCTGGGCATCGTCCTGGCCGCCGTCGTCATCATCACCGGCTGCTTCTCCTACTACCAGGAGGCCAAGAGCTCCAAGATCATGGAGTCCTTCAAGAACATGGTGCCGCAGGTGGGCCCGGGGGGGGTCCCCGGGGGGCCGGGCGGGTTTGGGGGAGCCCCCCACCCACGCAGCACCCCCACCCCGTGGCAGCAAGCGCTGGTGATCCGCGAGGGCGAGAAGATCCAGATCAACGCGGAGAACGTGGTGGTGGGCGACCTGGTGGAGGTGAAGGGCGGCGACCGCGTCCCCGCCGACCTGCGCATCATCTCGGCCCACGGCTGCAAGGTGGGGGGCGGGCACCCCCACCTGGGGGGGCCCCGCGCTCTGCAGGAGCCCCCCGGGACCCCTGCCTGGCTGGGAGAGCCCCAGGTTCTCCATGGGCGCCCCAAGATCCATGGGCTTGCGGGGAGACCCCCATGTTCTCCATGGGACCCCCAGGACCCCCAATGTTGCAGGGACCCCCATGTTCTCCATGGGCGCCCCCAGGATCCCAACCTTGCAGGGAGACCCCCATGTTCTCCATGGGCACCCCCAGATCCATGGGCTTGCAGGGAGACCCCCATGTTCTCCATGGGCGCCCCAAGATCCATGGGCTTGCAGGGAGACCCCCATGTTCTCCATGGACCCCCCAGGACCCCAACCTTGCAGAGGGACCCCCAGGTTCTCCATGGGCACCCCCAGATCCACGGGCTTGCAGAGAGACCCCCATGTTCTCCATGGGCGCCCCCAGATCCATGGGCTTGCAGGGAGAGCCCCATGTTCTCCATGGGC